CCTTTTAATCTTCTTCGTCAAAACCTAGACACTCATCTCCAGAACTAAGTGTATAAGGTATTTCTCCCGACTTTTTAGCATGCCTTCGTGGTGTAGTGGTCAGCACGCTCGACTCGTATTCGAGAGGTCCGTGGTTCGAGTCCCGGCGAAGGCATTACTCATTTTTCATTTCCTCTGCTTCCAAGAGAATTCTAATGTCTCTACAGGAAAAGAGTCACTTGAAGCCTCTTCTAAATCAGCATGTGAGTTCTCATATAATATTTTGCCCTCTGTACCATCCAGTGTATTACTAATGCCACAACTCTTAAATGATTTAACCCTGTTTCTGTTTTCTCAGCATCCCATGAAGCTTTGACCTATTCACAAACTTACGAAATGCTAACTGCGAATAAACTGAGTATCGACGTATAAGACGCACCCCGTTTTTCAGACCTATTTTCAAAGAAAAAAGTGCGTCTTATACACCGGTAAATACGGTAATTAAAAATGAACTTTCTGATAATTTCTAAAAAACATGTACTGATATCAATTCAAGAGGGGACGGGGAGTTATTGATTTGAAGTAAAAAGTATAAACGACAATATTTAAAAATGATATAATGAATATTATAAAATGAAAACCATTACATGAAATCTAAAATAACGCAGTATAGCTATCGAAATCGGAAAGCCTAAATTTTACTAAAATGGATAATGCGCGATCCAGAAATACAGCGGGCAGATGATGTTCAGTCGAAGCATTGGAATGAGATAAGCTGAAAGCTATTGGAAAAGGGAAATGGAAATCTGCTTATTCTTTCTAGAAATGGTTGATAACGAAAGTGGTAAAGAAATGGAAAACGCATCCGGCGCTAAAGATTTAAATTTCCTTTTAGATTAAAAAAAATTATGAGAGTCGACGGACATCTCTTTAACGCATTATTCTGAATTTCGATGAGAAGCATTCTGTTTTATTATTGGATAAGGGTTTCTTTCAGAAACTACAGATACGAATCATTATCTTGGAAATTATTTAAATAACCAATTATTTTTAGAGTAATTCCTTTTTTCTTTCTATTTTTCCGACAGTTTTTCTATAACATAAATTAGATAGAGTTTCTATAACATAAATTAGATTTTTCCCTTCCAAGAGTGTCCCAGACATGCTGTATTAGTTTAAAATAAGGAGATCTGAATGGCCAATTTTTGCGGTGAATATCCTCCCTTTCAAGGTAGTAGTAGACCAGCTGAGCCTTATGTCGACGAGCACTGTCGTCCATTAACAGGAATCCAGGCCCAACTGCACCCCTAAAAAGGCGAAAAGTCGAACTATTAAATCTCCACTTTGTACCTCATAGTAGTCAAATATCTATGCAAAATCCACGCAGGAGTGTGTAGTCGTCCAACAAAATGCCGGCACAGACCATTACAACCCATTCTTTACCCTGATGAAGGAGGATTGATATCATGTTCCAGACTCTCTCCAGATACAGGTACGCCAAGAATCAGTGATCAAGCTTAACCTCGACGCATCTGCAAAATGCACAGTGCTCCGATGAAGTCTCGTCCAAGACGTTGTTTGCACTATGATAAACGCGCTTTTCTTCTTACAGCCCTATCTTATGAAGCCTTCAGACAACTGTAGACCTTGACACTCGGATTCCAGTCGCAGCACACAGGTCACGTGAAAGCTGTGAAGCTGTGACAATCGTGTTCCGCTGCAATGAAAGTACCAGCTAATGATCCTCATTCGTTACTTTTTTTGCCGCTGAATACTGGTAGTTCGGTCCGGGATTCAAGTCCTGGCGAACGGGCTGGCTGCATGGGCGTTTTCGTGCTTTTCCCCATGTGTAACGTGGATACAAGCCAGTTTCCCTTAAAAAGACCTTCACGGGGTATCCCTTTCCGTGTAGTACCTAAGGGCATAACACGTAATAAGCAAAAAAACTTATCCTCATTCGCCATTGTGGATTTTGGGCGAGTTCAAGGCTTCTCGGTGCCAAAAGTTGCAGACAACACTGAGCTTTATATTCATATATTCAGCTCTGTAAAAAAACTTAGCTTTTGATTCGTCTGCCTCCAATCTACCGACAATTTTCCATCTCTTTTCGTTATTTATTCGTTCGTGGCTAAGCGTTTTACCTGATACTTCATAAAATTTACTTAACTCTTTGCGAGAAACACGGTGAATATCTTGAAAGACTTCGAATACACAAATCCTCTCACCAGAAACCTCTCATGGTGCACTCATGTCACCTACACAGTCACAGCTCCGCAGACATGCCTGTGTTCGCTTATGTCTGAATATTTGCATAATTCGTCAGCGGCATAATTAATACCTTTGGCTCAATACCTTTCATAAAAACAGACATAATTTGCAAATTCTCTTAATTTCGCACACGAATGTATATGCTTAATGTTCAATTAGCCACAGTCCAACTACCTAATGTATAGCCTTCGGCTGTTGAACTAGGTTTTGCAGATGTGGGGAGTCACTTAATGTCTTATTAACGGGTAATAGTAACGTGATGCGAGAGACGTTTTCACAAGCATATATATCTGGTATCTTTTCAGAGTAAGTGATAGGTTTGTCATTTACTTCCCTCTGGGAGATGTGGATAACTTTATTGACTTTCATTCTGTACGCTATTTTTTTCACTCTTTTATCTATATTCTCGAAGTTTAGAACATTCAGCTAGCAGTTCGAGGTCCGTATTTGGGATCCTGACAGCACAAGGCTGTGGTAATGTACTAACAGTTAAAGGTATCGTCAGTCTTTATTAAGACAGTGTGTTAAGAAACATTCCTTTGTTCCATCAAAAGTAATTACAACGGCATTTTCGGTATCACGTGTGTTTGTTAGTATAAGATTACATCATGAGCAGAAGGATGGAACAACAAGCCAGCCTGAAGTTTCACACTGAATGGGACAAATAGGCCCACAAAGATTTTGAATATGTTTCTACAGCGAGTCATGAGCAATGCTTTGTGTTGCGTGTGTTAGAAAGTCGCTTGAATACAGAAGCATCTGAAAGATCTTCCACAAGCATCACCCCCGAAAATATGAAAGGAATTTGAAGCTTTTATATGCGGGACTTCAGGAAACGATCAGCAGCGTTGCAGGTATTTTTGTTGGTCGTGTAAGTCAATCCTAGGACAGTAACAAGTACAGGGGGCACCACGCCATCGCCATTGACAAAAATGGTATAGCCCCCATGCACTACTTCTCTTGCGTACCGCCCCTTCCACAGGGAACCTGATAGCAGTAAACATATGACATAGCACTAACAACATATAGGACATAGCACAACATACTCTTGCAACATACTTACACACAGAAACATAATACTAACATACTGTTACAGATTATTTACAATGCAAGAAGTTATGTTCATTATAGAGCTTGTCGGTTTTGGCACCGCCCCTTCCACAGGGGACCTGATTATAGTAAATATAGAACATAGCATCAACAACACATAGGGCATCCCAACATACTGTTACTGATACTTCAACACATAGGACATAGCATTAACATACTATTACAGATTATTTACAATGCAAGAAGTTATGTTCATTATAAAGTTTGTTGGTTTTGGCATAATATATGTTTTATGATACCTAGGGTGTTATATTTGAATTATTTATTGAATGTTGTAGTGTGTTAATTAGGTAAGTAAGTTTCCATTTGGTCCAAGTTCCATGTTCGGAGTTTAGCGGTCCATTGGTGCACTACTTTAACATGTATTTTGAAATTATTGCATTTGATTCACAGTTCACTGTTCAGCTGTTTCAGTTCACATGTGAAATTGGTACTTTATACCAAGTGTAGATTCTGCTACCTGTTTAAGGTGGGGTTTGATGAGTTGAAGGCACCTCTGTATCGATACACTTCTCCTCTTGTAGTCAACCGTAACATCTTGAACTTGCAAGATGTTAGGATTGCTTGAACGTACTGCATGCTCCATTGGTTTCTTCTTAGCAACACCACCGATAACCGAGCATTCTTCGTTTGTGAATTAATCGCCAACCCCAACATACAATCGCTTTCGCATTTGCTCTACTCATCAGATTTAGTTATTGCCGATTTCTTACTTTTCTCGAAGGTGAAGATACAGCTGAAAAACCGTCACTTTTATTGAGTTGTCAAGATCCAGCGTGAATCAAAAACGACTAGGGACTTGCTGATCCAAAATGACTTCGAAGCAGCCTTGCAGGTAAGATACGTGTATTGCTTGCTGCTCAAGATGACTATGTCAAAGAAAATAATGCTCAAATTTAGATATATAATGTGCTTTTCTCTCAACGTAACCAGGCCGGGACCTTTTCGATACACCGTTGTTATATTTTAAAATACAGAAAGTCCTTTCTTATTTGATATATTGCATAAGTTCTCAAAATGATTTTCTTGATTTCAATTGATTATAACTTTATTTGAAATGCAGACAGAAAAATTAGATTTTGAATGGCATTATACACGATCATAAAGATTTCGATTGCACTCAGTCTTTTCTCTAAGCACAGAACATGAAATCCTCAAACGATGTGAAGCAGATTAAATCGCTATTCTTTCTTCCGCTATATACTAAATTCTTAATGATTCATTTGATGCGTTCATGCAACTTTTGTGAAAATGGAACTTTAACCATTCACACTTGACAAGTGTAGAAATTCACCATCAAACGAAAATCAGATTTAATGTCAATAATTTCAAAATAATAACATTCTAAAATATAGGTTCTCGAAGGTGAAGATACAGCTGAAAAACCGTCACTTTTATTGAGTTGTCAAGATCCAGCGTGATCGTGTATAATGCCATTTTGGGACATTCTATACTCAAATTAAGACATGGTTAAAAATTACGGCATTATGCTTGCCTAAAATCAAGTCAGTCGTCCTGTCCTAAATAGCCTTATATTATCTTGTATTATATTTATGTCTATCAAATGTACCATCATTATAAAATACCGTTACTGAAATTTTAATTTACATTATTCATAATAGTTCTTTATTTTCTTCTTGCAGGCCAAGAAAACATGTTTTCAGAGCGTGTAAAGCGGTCAGCCATTGATGATGCCCGCAGGAAGATACTCCACAAAGCCAAAATCAAATCACTGATGATAACTGTGGTGATTGTGCTCACCTTCGTCATCTGCTGGACCCCTTATTATGTAACAATGATCATTTTTATCTTCCTAGAACCTGGAGAAGAACTAAGCCAGAATTTGCAAGCCGGAGTCTTCTTCTTCGGGAGCTCAACTGCCATGATCAATCCGCTCATCTACGGAGCCTTCCACTTGCGCCCTAGAAGGAAACCTTGCTTCTCCAAATCTACCTCCATTAACAACAACAGCTCCTCCTCCCGAGTCGAGCTATCCCTCATGATAGTGCGTAAGGGCTGCCAGAGAAGAAGTCGTGAGGAAAATTCGACACACCATGCAAACGGGGAGTTTTTGACATTACCACACAGTGCACATAGAGGAGAGACAATCATTCGCCGAGATCACTCTAGCGGTCTGTTGACAGATGATACTCGGTTTGTTTGAAAAACACTTAATGCCAGAGAAATTCATTCTTCGATATTCTAATCAAGAACTAATTGTTAACAGCATAAAGGTTGTTTCGTTCTTGTTTAAATTCGGATAAAAACAGTTAATGCAAGTTCATTTCTATACACTTAAAAAAGATTATTTCGCTAGTAAAAGTCAGTATATGAGTTTAGAGACAGATGCTATATGAGAATTCAGTGCTTCCCATCTGAGAAGCCACAGATATGATTATTTAATGTTTTCGCTATTCTTAATATTAATCCTCCTAATCAGAACATCATCGTGATCATAGTGGTCAAAATTCATCTTGACCAGATGACAAGAGGTAACGCCTATTGTTGGGCTTGAGCACATTTTCGGAGACATTATGAGTTTGCTCAGCTCTGTCTCAGATTTGATGAAAACTCAACGGGGAACTAATTCCAGCGTTCTTTATTTTTCTACCATCAACTTATCTAGAAGACTTCCAGCAACATTTGAAATGCTTCTAAGTCGCAAAGATACTATATATGGATTGGATAAAAATTTATGCTTTTTCCGAAATTCTACCCAAGGACCAAGGCTGTGGTATTCGACTTCCCCATCAGAGTGCCAATGAAATGGCTCCCGATTCTTTAAATGTGTGCTAGGGTTAAGAAGTATGTTGGAAGCAAGTCACATACTAGAACGATTCACTTTTTGAAGCAGTCCGTCTGCACCGTGGGTTATCTATATTGCAAGAAGTTTTACCTTGGTTCGGATGTAAGACAATGTTATTACTTATACTTTTCTTGGAAATGCCTTTTAGAAACCGTACTCGCGTTCTGTTCATAGCCTAATATTTGCCAAATTTGGTAAAATATTTTGACAATTATCCTTAATTTTGCTTTAAAAGATAACATATTTACTTAATTCTACTTCAAAGCATGGCGTTTAAATACATACGCAGTATTTCTTATATTTTGAAATACCAGCAATTCCAAGATGCGTCACTTAACTTCAATTCTACCAACAGAAAAGTTTTTTTGTTTTTAATTTTAAATAAATAAAGTACTAAAATATATTTACTAAATACTTTTATTATGATAGAATTAAATTCCTTAATAATAATCATTATAATAATAATAATACCTATTGATCGGAAAATAAATTATTCATCACATCTTTCAATCTCAGTATCAGATTTCAGATTTTTGCAATTATAGATACCTGAAACTTAACTAGGATATATGGTCTGATTCTTTTTGGAAATCGTTATTTTATCGTATTATATAATGTAACACTCTTATGAGCCATTGACAGTGTTGAAAATGTAACAACTAAACATCTTTTTTTTTAATATATGCTACGCTCTTCTTCCTAGGTTTGGCTTCAAAGGTCCAGTGCCATCAGAGAGCTGAATTAGAAACTCTGTTTCTTTCGCGAGAAATTTTAAATATATTAGAACTAAAATGTAAGCATAGAACATAACAATTGATGCCGTTGCGAAGTGGGCGCAAATGTGAGAAACACTTCTTTGTTAGAGAAAAATATGAGTGAGTGAGTGAGTGAGTTTTTTTGGCGCAAAAACCAATGATGATTATGATGCGCCATAGAGGAAAATATGAATCACATCTGAAGTAGCGTAGTATCCTTCCCATAAAATGTATTCTGAGAGCCAGAATAGTATATTTGATTATGAATTATATGCACATCCTTTTCTTTCCTTTTGCAGCACTCTCAGATTTTCATAATCATATAACAGTTTGATTGATGTGGTAATTTATGTTTTAATCATAAATTATAGGCTTAAATAATAATCTTTGATTTACTTATTTGTTTTTTGATTCGCATATTTTATATATGAAAGTTGATTGAACCAAGAACGGCTATGTAGAGTGAAAAAAGGATATGCATTTTTATTGAGGCAATTCTTAATAATCCCAGAATCAAATGCCTTGTTAGGTCACGGAAAGTTGAGCCTAGGGAGCACAAAATTTCACAGCAGTTACGTCCTAATTTGCTGGAGTTTATTTCTTGGAAAACTACAATTCTTACTTAACAGCCCGAAGCGAATTCTTCAGTTTTGTGGGTTCACATTTCTGTTAAGGACTATACGTTAAAAGTTGTGGATGTCTTTTCTGAAATTATTAATTAATTATACTTTGTAAATCATTGTTAGAGTACTTTAAAAATATAGATGTAAGAAATGGTGTTATTAAAACTTTGAAAACTATAACTTAATTCTATTTATATGAAACATGCACCTGTGTCTTTTATATCACTTTTGTTGTTGTTGTAACTGATAGCATCACAAAGAGATCTCGTGAATAATGCCAAAGATGAGGGTGTTTTCGACTCTCGTTAATCACAGAATTAAACCACGTAATCGTGCTCATCTCCAACCAAATTTTAATTCAGCAGATCCTAGAAATAATCCTTTTCCTCCACTAACAACTTCTAGAAATCCTTTACTGTCTGACAGCTTTGTGCTTCCACGTTTCAGAACTGCTGAAATCACTTAGTCTTTCTTACGCATGATTTGAACCTAAGCCTATCGGTATATTCAGCTAATCCTCATACCGATTGCGTGCTTTTTGCATCTTTCGAGGGAAAAGTCAGCAATTCAACTCACATTCGATTTTCAAGGCATTTTTTAAATATAAACCTCAATTTAAGTTCATGGATTTTTCTCAAGCTGACGAAATTGTCAGTGGCCGAGTCTTGCTAACACTGAGAGTTCGGCCTGAGATTAAATCTTGGTGGACTAGATGACTGTATGAGGATTTTGCCTTTTGCGTCATTATCCATTTGTAATGTAAATACACATGAGGTACACATACCATTTTCTCTTTGAAAGTCCTGTACTAAACTGTTCCTTTTATTACTGTTCCATTCATTTTTTGTGCATATTGCGATTGTTTATCGGTTTTTGGTTAATTCAATACATTTTTTCCAATCATGATTATTTTTCCAACTGTTTTTTCCGATTTTCTGTTTTTTGTTTCTTTTTTTATTATTTACTATTATTCTTGAATCTTTTCTCTTTTTAATTTACAGTTGATTTTAAAATACCATTGTTTTTGCTATTTTGCTATTTTTATTTGTGTTTTACAAATAATGCAATTTAAACAAAATATCTTTTGAATTAGATACTTATTTCAGAAAAAATGGAAAATATTTTATTTCATTTTACTTCAAAAACATAAAAGGAACAAACTTCAACGATTTCAGTCCATATTTCAACCCGTTTTTCATAAACTTTATATCTATATGTATACAGCTTCGCATCAGACAGCAACATAGCAAGCAAACTAATACAATTTTTCACTTGATTTACATATGCCATCGTATTATTCTAAGGATGAAAACAAATACTTTAGTTTCAAGAAGTATTCTCGAGTTGTATCTGCACCCAAGAGTATATTTTCTCTTATTTATTTTATTTTTCTTTCGATTTATGCTGACAGAGAATTTGTATTTAAATAGAAAAAAAATCAGAATATATTCCTTACAACATTTTCTCTTTTGATTTGTTGTACTGATTTCAATAAATTATCTAACAGAATTGTTTCCGAATTTAAATTTTAAAGATTTTTTTCACTTTCTTTGAAACATAACATAATTTATATTATACTCAATTTATACACATATCATACTCACAATTTATATCATGGAAAATTTTCAAACAGAGACATATGAAACTATGGAGAAAAAGACTGACATACTGTATTTCTAGTAATTATTTGCAATACTTTAAAAGCAGAATGTGACAATCGGTTTTGAATAATAAATTGCGGAGTAATAATTTTAAGCGCGAAAAACTCCTTCTTGGTATTTATCAAATGTCTGTCATCTTGCTATATTTCGTAAGCAAACCAAAGCACTGAGGTATTAATTAAAACAGAATGCAGTTTCGTTATGGGAAAAAATAGTCACTAATGCTCATACTCGAAGGAAATATCCGTGTAAACCATTCAAAAAGTAAATAATTTATTTTAAAGAAGTTACCATATTGCGAAATAGTTCTTCAATAAATAAATATATCACTCCTTTAATGCTTAAAAAATTGAGGAGTTAAGAATTCTACTAGTCTGGAAAAGAGGCTTTTTATTTAATAAGCTACATACATTATCCATAATCTTTTCTTAAAACCTGCTTGTTACAGGAAAGTAGTTCAAAATGTTTTGGTTTAAAAAAATATTTTATTCAAAAAGTTCTGTAACTGACATAAGTAAACGGACACTATGAACAAAATGTTTATATTTAATAAAATCATAAAATAACACGACATTCAGTGTTTCATTGAATATCCTTAAATTATATTGCACTTTTCATTCACTCTGGCGTGGATTTAACTAATATTTTCGTGTAAGAATATTGCATTTTGTTCCATTTCTCTGTAAGAATTGCTTTCAGTTGATTTTTCGAAAACTGTCATGCTTCCTTTTCTCCAACTCGAAGGATTTTAAGTCCGAAAGATATGGAGGAATTCAATGACTTCAGGACAATTGTATAATAATCACAAGCAAACATTTGGAGTTATATGTTTAGGATCGTTATCCTTATAGAATTTGAATGTATTTTGCATTCCAATTTTTCTTCTATATGCTTTCAGGTACTCATTGAGAATATTATATATTTATAACGATTCGTGTTATTTTCTGTAAAAACTACATTTCCTTTTTTCACTCACAATGATGCACCCACGAAGAATCAATATTTCTTCACTCTCATGCTTATTAGTATAAAGTAGGTTTTTCGAATTCAATCTCAGCTCGGCTTTTGTCACGCAGCAGTTCTTTCACTGGACCCAAGAATATTACATTTTGACTTGTCTGCAAATATAATATTGCTTTAATGTGATTAATCTCTGACTATATGGACTTTTGCGAACGCCAGGCGCATTTTCTTTGTTTTCTTAAGGACAAAGAATTTCCTTTTTGCTGATTGCCCGTTGTAACCATGTGCTCTGACTCCTCTGACAGATTCACATTTAACTTTTATTAAAAACCGTGTAAGGTATTTTAATCCTCTTCCAGCATGTCTTCGTCATGTACACTTAGTACACTTGGAGCGTATTGGAAAGGTCTAGGTTCAAGAGTTCCCGAAAGGTCTAAGTTTGAGAGTTCCTGAAAGTTCTAAGTTCGAGAGTTCCTGCGAGGACATTGGACATTGCTCATTTTCATGTACTTCTGCTTTCAAACAAACAAACAACAAAAAAAAAAAAAAAAAAAAAAAAAAAAAAAAAAAAAAAAACCCACTTTATATCTATACAGTGACACTCGAACTAAAAGGTGGTGGATGTTGATTCTTCACCACCCGGATTTGGCGATTGGGTGTCCTAATCCCCAGTCGCCCTTTAAAAGGGAATATGTATATATTCCGCCTCCTTTCTGCATGCCTTCGTGGTGTAACGGTAGCACACTAGGCGCGTATTTGACAGGTCCAGGTTCACGTCTCGGCGAGAGCATTGCTCGTTTTTCACTCCAGTTGCTTCCAAAAACTCCTAATAACTTTAAAACCATTCCCCTTAATCTGCAAGTATTAGTTCTTAGGTTTTGTTTGATTTTTCGTAGGGTTTAATCTTCGATTCATTCGTCTTAGCTTCGAAAGCCAAGACCTTAGTGCGTTTTGAAAATTTCCAGACATTTTCTATCGTTTTAATACATTACAGATAGCTAAATACATTGCACCAAGACCGTTTTTGATATTTTGATTATTTTGACCATCTTTAAAAAAATGACTAGTTAAATTTAAAATAGAAATTGTTATTAATTTGTAGCTATTTCACTTCAGATGTGAAACTGTTAATATATTTTGCTGAACAAGCGATAATTTCTAAATGCAGACGATAATTCTTGTCATGTAGTTTTATTTAAATCAAAAATTCGTGAGAAGGAAAGCATCATCTGCCTAAACATCTCAATAAATTTTTCAATTGATCTAAGTATTATATGATTAGTGATTAACACTATTTGAATAAATGATTTTATTGCAAGGAATATCTTGATGATATTTTTTGTAATAACTATGGTTTAAAATACAGAAAAAAATAATATATTAGAAAAACATTTAAATTCTGTGGTTTACTTATTTAGAAAAAAAAAATCTCTGCAAATAAATTTCAAACATACTAATTTCCGAAAACAAATGTGAGCCATTGTATTTATTTTAATAAGTAGTCACAATGTAACGATTTTACTTCCAAATTAATTTCACTTCTAATTGTGTTTCCAAATTCTTCAGCTAAACAATATCCCGTTTAATTTTACTTCTGAATTCACTTCTAATTTCTAAGGTAAATTAAACTTTTAAATAATGGAATAATAGAACAGTTACATTTCTGAAGACAATAATGAAGAACAACTCATTAATAAGCTGCGAAGAAAGGTGTAGGTTGATAAAATTGTAAGAGATACGAGGCGTATAAAACACTTTCTGTAAGAATTTAAGATAAGAGTAATAATTGATTTAGTTTCTTTTTAAATTTTTTTCCTAGGAAGGGTAATTTTGATTGCGTATTTTTCAAAAATATTTTTTTTTTGTTATAGAGGAATAACCTGCACTGTTTTTAGAAGACATTATAGCTTTCTCTGAACTTTATGAATAACGTTATTATTTCCCCTTACTTTTTCTGATTATTTTTCATTCCCCTGACTTTTCATGACTTTTCATGACATTTCAGAATTTCCCAAATATCGTTGAACTCTGCGATAGTAAAATAATTTAAGCTCTCTATTGAAGATTAACATAGCATTTCCTCGAAGTTATGAAAATACTTCTAACTCATGTGTGAATGTTTTTATTGAATAGTATAATGATTTCATTTCGACTTTTAGAAATTTATGTTGACTTGAACTCAGAGCATAACTTTCGACTCCACTCTTCTAAAACAATTTAAATATTTGGGTTTACCTTAAACCCCAAGTATTCAAAATGATTAACAAAAATTCAAATGTTTCATTAATTTTCTATTGTTAAAAATTGCTTTAAGCTTTATTTCGTCGTTCCAAATTATTTTGATATCATATTCACAATTTAATTTTTAAAATTTTCTCCCTCAAATTTTAACTTTTCATAAAGGTTTTCAACTTTTACATTCTTTTTAGAGTTTTTTAGTAATATCGGACAAAGCTATTACTTTTTTATTACTTTCGCAGCCACATAACTGCATTTTATTACGAATAAAATTGCTCTTTATTTTCGCTGGTTATTTTAAACAGGTAAAAAAAT